GATAGCACTTCTAGCTACACTAACGTGTAGTTTATTAAATGGGCTTTACTCTCAAATGTGTTTGCAGTTTGTACCACACATATTATCTACAAACGTCTACATATTGTCTACAAAATTGTAGACATATTGTCTACATACACATTATCTACAAAAATGTTTACGAGTTTGTTTCCATGAAGAAAGAATACTTTGGTATTAAAAATGCGAAAACTATGGCAAAATGATTTTTCGCAGCTTTTTATGACTAATTCAAATATGTGAGGAACGAAAAGCGTTTATTCGAAAACATAAATCAAGCACCCTTGTGTGTAGTTGCCGAGTATAATTGCGTAACCATTTTCTGTTACTCCTTTCTTTGTGTCTCAGTAGTGTCCAAATTTTGTAACACGGTATAATGCGAGACACTATCGTACGTGTTCAAAATTGTTCTTGTCAATACCGAAAGCAATCACACTCACGCAATCAAACAAAAACATATTTAAATACAAATGTGAGACTGTTTAAGAAAACACATAATCGTAGTATTTAATATTACCATTTTCGTTATTTTTAAAATTATCTCTTTGTAGATATTGTTTATTCATAGCAATGAAAATAAAACTGAAATAGCGAGGGAGAAAAGCAATCTTATTGGACTTTTTAATGTACAAGAGTTAATTACTCATGTGTGTGCAGAAGGGGGCGTTAATACCCGCTCTGCGATAAACAAGGCAAAGGACGGAGTTGGCTGCGTATCTCACGCAGACGTATCGTACGGCCCGCAAGGCCGATGGTCTGCTGTTGATGTACACGCTCAATTGTACATGGTCAATGTCCTTCGAAGGAATTCCGCGAATATAAACTACTATGTTGACTACTACAACACAGAAAGTCTATGAAGTGCATATCTGCATGAATGAAATAAAATGGCACTAAGTAAGATATTTCTCATTAGCATATAGACAAATAGAAGATTTACAGCATGGGAGCTCGTACTGATATGATAGGGCAAATCGCATAGTCTCTCTCTCCCGTCTCCCCCAAGGCAACAAAAGTGTAGTAACTAAGCCAACATTCTGATATTCAGTCAGTGAAGAGGGCTTGCCTAGAAAAAGTGTATTCTTCTTGCGTGCCCTTCAAAAACTGATACGTAGTAACAGAACATTCCATCCTAAATTACTGCAAAAATCTGCGGACAGACTGCCCCAGCTTCGGCGCAGATTCTGAGAGGGCAAGGTCAGTCGCACGACATCTTTCGACATCCGCTCCGGGTGAGGTGGTTCACAGCATCAACATGTCACTGCAGTGCCTCTGACCGGGAGATCCTAGGATTCGAGACCCGACGGTGGCAGGATTGACTAACTATATCGCTATGTCGATTCAGCCGCTGTCTGGAGGAGAATTCTAGTGGCCTGTTGCTCTGATCGGTAGTTTGTCTAGTTTGTTGCAGTTTCTCCGATCAGCAACAGGCAGATTGCCAAAGCAATTGAACAATTGCCAGAGCAATACCCTAACAACCGGGCTACGGACCGCGCGCGATCTTTCCTTTCTCATGTTCAATCCTCACATCTTACTCACACATATTCACGATTATATGATTTACTTGTTCACCTGTACTATTCACTTGTATGAAAATAAACAATTTGCTCTGAAAAACATATATTTCGGATGTCGTGAATTCCATTGTTATCCTTATGGCAAACCTAACCAAAGACTTTATAAGTGGTTTAATGATCGAGCGGCGATAAGAAGTACGAGGGCCTGTGGCCCGGGGGTCTTTGACCCGAGCCCTTTTTGTCGCTCGAGGTCATTATAACCAGTTAACGCCCGAGGAACACATATGAATTAATTTTTTATTTAATTGTTTTGATTCAGATTTACTTATTAACTAGACGTTAATTTGGCTAGCTTTGTCTTTCCATATTTCCCTTCCATAATTACCTTTCACAATTCCCTCCATAAGCGAATACAACATTCTGTATAACTGTTCAACTGTTTTCGTATTTCCCTATTAAACACTATCCTCTCGATCCAGGTACGTTACGCAGTATATTATTTACAGTTCCGTATCGAAGGCAATAACAGGTAATAAAATATTACTACAAATAAAAGTTTTTTAATGCAGCTATACTGCTTGAGGGGAGGAGATCCTCCTGCAGATCTCCATCTACTGTCAGCTATTGGAACTAAACGAAACGGCGCCTGCTAAGCCCACAATACGCGCATGAATCTTGGGACAGGACGTATACTTCGATTTATTTCCTAAGTCTGTTGACGTCTGATCAGCTGTTTGGTGTCATCCAATCGGGAGCTTAAACGTCATTACTGTAAGTGTCATCCAAGCTCCCGATTGGATGACACCGTAACAGCTGATTTACGTCAACAGACCCTATGTTTGAAATGAAGTAAAGGAATATGCGCATTATCTCTGACACCTGTGACAGCACCGTTGGCGAAAGCCCGATGGACTGGCGGAAACCCAGGTGATAGGGCAAATCGCATAGTCTCTCTCTCTCCCTCTCCCTCCCTTCTCCCCCAAGGCAACAAAAGTGTAGTAACTAAGCCAACATTCTGATATTCAGTCAGTGAAGAGGGCTTGCCTAGAAAAAGTGTATTCTTCTTGCGTGCCCTTCAAAAACTGATTCGTGTGATAACTAAGTAAGCGGTGCTATGCATTTCCGAGCTTCTTTTTTAGAATTGTTAGTTTTTTAATAGTGTGAAAATGAGTGAGCTACATTTTTTTGCTGTGAAAAATGAAACTTCTGATGTGTCTCTCTTTGAACAGTGCCCTTTAATTGCGAGATATGTGGTTATATTCAAGAGTGATGTCTTGATTTCCACAAAGTCAGAGCGGATAGAACATTCGATGCTCTATACAATATGCTAGATCAGCAAACCTTTTGCGCCGAACTGTATGAACACCCCCGGTAATGACAGAAGAATTAAACGGTCTATAGGCAACAGTCAAGCAGATACTAAAGATACTCAAACTGGATGGAACTTCAAATCTCGCCTAATTGAATTTGTTAAAGTGCTAGGAAAAGTTTACTAGTTCTATTTACTGGGATTTGGCGAAATGAGTCTAGGAAGTGGAATAATATAACAATTAAGGAAGATACTGGATATATGTGTCTATTGGAGGACTTTGAATATATTTTTTGCTTTCTGGTATTAATGAAGTGTTTTCGAAAACAAGTATTCTTTTCGAGATTTTTCGAGCGAAAGCTAATGATATAGGTATCTGTGCTTACCGTGCTTTTGAGGTAAAAGACATTTTCAAGAAGTCAAGAAGTGACGCAGTAAATGAGCATCACTTCGAGGTAGCTCTCACTATAACGAGACATTTCTCCTACAAAATATAAGTTGTATTGACTCTGAAGACCCCAAACAAGTTTCCGTCAGTTGTATTTTAATACCATTGATTAAAACACAAATGGGAGTAAGATGTCAAGCCCTAAGAAAATTATCATCCCGAAAATACTATACTACAAACATTCAAGATTTTTCCAAGGTCTTTCCTACTGATGCATTTGCATCGCTAATGAATAATTTTCCCGGATTCTTTGACTGTAAGAGCCTTAAAAATAAACTAATAACAAATTTGCAATATCCATGGTCTCCAGTGGAACTGTGCAAAATTTCAAGAGTTAGTAATTCACTTTAAGGAAGACATTAGCAAATGCCTTCACAGGATTTGCAAGTTAGCATGATTGTTTGCGACAATACCTGTTTCTACAGCAAGTGTTGAAAGAAGATTTTTAGCACTAAAAAGTATAAAAACTTTTGCCGAAACACTATGGATCAAGATAGGCTTTCTCTTGCACTCATGTCAATCGAGTAAGAACTATTGATGCGGTTGAAAATAGATCCAAAATGGCATGATAAAGTCCTGGAAGATTTCGCAACAGCGACGAGGCGAGTTCTTCTGCCAGTAATGATGTCCGCAAAGGTAACGAATTTCGTTTATACCTGCCTGTAATACAATTTCTATGTGTTTGGTGTAATATAATTGAATATGCATGACTTCTTTCCTCCTCTTACGAATCCTGCACGAGCAATCACTCCATACCAGATTTTTTTCATTTCTCTAAAGTATGGTGTAGTCGGAAAAACTGTCTTCTGAAAATTCGAAGACTGAAATTCGTCTCTTGAGGAGGTAAACTCTTCTCTTCAAATATCGAATCGAGCACGAATTGAAGTGTTGGGCAGAATTAGATGAGCGTCATTACAGGTCGTGAATAGAGCCGCTTATAAATATGATAACAGTCCGATTTCCCTTAAAACTCCTGAAATTTCAAAAATTGATTACCTTCGAAAATGCTAATCGTTTCTCGGGCTTTGTTTCAGAAGACACTTTGTCAAGAAATTACTAAAAAAATTGTTGGAGACAGATTGTAATGTTTTAATAGCTGCTACAAATAATCCGAGAAAATCTGTGCTGTTGAATTGCATTTTACTAGTTTATTTCCTCGAAAACCTTATAATGCAAGAATTCTAATATTAAGTATATAATAAGTACAACCATAATAAGTGAAAGTATGTACTGAAAATTATCAAAATTTTCTGATAATATTACGGTATCTATTTTTATTCGATCTGGTTTAAAATTGTACTCAATCGTTTCATTGATTAAATTTGCTTGCCTCAGCTGCGGTGGAGGCTGCGGGCGCTTCGTCTTCGGGCGGCTCCACACACTCGGCATTCGCCAAGTTGCGAGCGACAGCTCACCCAATCCCGAGCAGCTGGTGTGATCGGCGAATGTTCGCTTCCTTTCATGAGTACAAAAGACCGACACGCGGTGAGTAGGGCGGGATTCGGCGAGCGGTGGCTAACAACTCGCCGATCATCGAATGTGTGGAGCCGCCTTTAATCCCACTAGAACTTGGAAAGTATGTTTGAAGTAAACGTGTGTTATTTAGAATTGTTAACTATATTTGAAGAAAATTTGTATAATGAATAACATTTTCTTGTGTTGTAGGTCTCATTGTCATTGAACTCTGAAAATTGTATATATTAGAATAATGGGACAGGCCATTACACTTTCAAGCGCTGCCAAACTACCGCGTGGTATATGGATAAATTGCATGGAAAGATAATTTCCTTGAGTTTGAATCTGAGTTCGAATCTCGACGCCGAGAAAAAATAGTGGTAAAAAATGCACATACTTTCACGCCCGTATTTTTACGCGAAAAGTACTCAAATTTTCGAAAAATTGTACATTACCTTGTATCAAAATCTATCTTTAAGGAACAGTTTTAATTAAGGGAAAAATCTCTGTCTTCATAATTGTAGTGGTGGGAAGACACCTAAAAGTTTTGAATTTCTGAAATTTTCGATAAATGGGTTGTCAACGAAAATGAGATCTGCACTATTCTCCTAAACGTCCTAAACTATTCCATTCACACACTCCTTACCCTATCCAAAAACAAAATTTAATCAAAAACGATGGAGCCATTTTTTTTGAAAATGTCGTAAAAGTAACATTGGGATTCATGGGGCCGCGAGGTCAGCCAGATCGATCAGGGAATATCAATTGTGGAGAAAATCAGCTGAACGTTTTAGCCGCTAGAATCGCCCACAGACGGACGGACGGACGGACGGACGGACGGACGGACGGACGGACGGACGGACGGACGGACGTTTTGCTGTCATTCGATTTTTCAGTATCAAAGACCCACAAAACATATATTCTGGCTACATCATGTGTTAGGGTTTTTTTTCTAAATTTAGCAACTGGATTGATTCACTCTTTCGTTTCCAGGGCTCTGTAACAAATGTTTTTCTGCCAAAAATTCGCCGTTTCTTCAACATTACATTACTCTCCCTCTACTTTATAGCGAGAAAATAAATTTACTAGTTGGAAACTCTTTCTGCGGATTGTTCAATATGAAATATAATATAATTGTGTAGCCCCCAAAAACAATGCAAGTAAGTATGTGATGTTGTAGCCCCACTAGTTAGTTAATGTTTTGGCAAGTACGTATTGTACGTATTGTACGTGTGTCTTGTGTTTCGCGCCTTATATCCGTACTTGATTAATCGGGAGCTCCAATTTCCATTTCCAGAATTGTTGATCACTGCGTCTCGGCTTCATTTGATTCTGTCAGCAGTGTCAAATTCCAGCAAATTCCTATTCCGTCTGCCGATGCACGAAGAGTCAGATAAGCGTCCAGTTGTAATCAGTGTTTGCTCCAGGTGAGCCTGGCCCAGGCCTGGCCTCTCGCCGGGTGGCCTGGGGCGCCAGCGCGGAGAAGGCTGAGAGCGCAGGACAGCCCCGCAATGCGATGCGATTTTCAGCTACAGTTTTTTTTAAAACCATAGGCGTGAATAAAAATTTGAAAACAGGGACCACAAATTTTAAGAAATTGATTGAAAGTCATATGGTAAACCAACAAAATAAATTCATGAACTGAATATTCAACCAGCCGCTAGGATGGCTCATGGTCAGCGTACTAGCGACATTAGCGACAGCTACTGCCCGAGTTGTGGTCGCGGGATCGATATATTCGATCGGGATCGAAAGGAATACGTCGCCACATGTCGGTCTTACCGCCAACTATGGGAGGACTAGGCCCAGGCGTGAAGTCGATAAATTACATAACTCAAAAGAGTGGAGATGGTTTGACTCTACGTTTTAATGCTGCGTTTCATGGGCGAGGGTATTAATTTAGTGATTTTTAATATGATTAAAATTGAAGAAAGGAAATAATTCGCTTAAAATAATCATTGACAACTGCCCTATAGAACAAGTAACAAATTTAAATATCTTGGATGTATTATACATGCAGAACCTGCATGTATTAACCTGCTAAACAGAATGATATGCCAAAGAATATAGACAGATTTTATATTTATTAAGAATTAAATATTTGATTTCGATTCAATTTTGATTTGCAAATTGAAGCTGCATCAGCAAAAAATTTTTTAAATATTAATTAATGAAATGCATGCTTAGCATTTGCGAGTGTAAAGGGGTACTTTTACCTTTAATTTCAATAATTAAATGATATTCTTTTTAATTAAACAAAGTGAGCATATTATTTTTAATCATTCAACTTAATCTTTGACACGTAGTTTATTTAATTTATCAGCCTACTATTTTTAAAATCTCAAACCTCTGGTGGGAACATGAATTAATCGCCTCTTGTGTATTTTCGTGCTTCACCAATACATTAAATATTTACATTTATTGAATTGACGATGTAATAGCACGTAAATTGGTGTTTTAAGGCGTTTTGTCGATATTTAAAATGTTTAAATGGTAAAAGCAATGTCATTTGGTTAGATACACATTCGTGTATTGGAATTCGACATCTTGGTAGAAAATATTAATTCGTCACAGATTTAATTTATAATATCATTTTTAATATGCTTTTGTCTTGCTCGTTCTATTAATATCGTGCCCTACAATGATACCTTCATAAGGGGTAATAACATTTGAAATATTTAAAATGGTTTGTTAAATCTCAATTCCGCCTCTCTCAATTTGTTTGAGAAACTCAAATATCCAATTTTAAAAGAAATATTCCTTAACCCCGAGCTCAAAGCGTAGTCTACGTATCTGAAATTCGAGGCGTTCTAGAGTGAGAAACTATTCATGATTTGGGCGGCATTCATTCAATACGCAGGCAATACGTTTTGCGGAATGCGATTAATTTCATTGACATTTTTTCCACATTTATCAGTAAATAATTTAATTTTTATCATTTTAATCAGTAAATAATTTTAATTTTCCTATCGAAATCACGCGAACCAGTGTCATTGAAAAGTTCCAGAATAATGAACCCTTCCATAGCTCCACTTGCCCCCTGAGAGAAAATATCATTGGTACTATTACTTCTTTCGACATATGAAATTTGCAATATATCATAATCAACAGTTTCCTTCCTAGCCAATAAATATATAGCAATGCAAGTCGTACTTTTGATTAGAGAAGATAAAAAATTAATAATACAGCTTCAGTTCATATTCGCCATAAAACTGCTTTTCTCGGCGTTATTAAATTTACCAAATATTTTGTTTATATACTAATAACACTTAAGCGAAATAAATATTCAGACGGCGGTTTTAATGGCTGTTTAGAATAAAAATGAAAGTTTGAATCTTTAAAAACTGCCATAGTTGCTGTGAGAAAGAAATTGTTACTGTAATTATCCCACGAAACTACCAATGAACGTTCAAGCACGTTTTTGTTGTTGTTGTTGTTGTTGTGTTTTTTTCTTTTATATATATAATATATATTTATATAAGAAATTGTAAAGACAATTCTTTCGCCCCGTCGCACCGTTTATCGCCTCGAGGCGCTACCTAGACCGCGATACCACCTCTGCTCTGGGCATTAAGCGTATGAAGCGAACAATCGAAGCCAGATATTCCAAACCTCTCTTTTCAGTATTCGAAATATGCGCTAGAACGGTCGGAATGGATTCACATATTGTGCCTGAGATGAACATTTTAATATAGCATTTTGTCAGAATTACAAATTGATTGCTAAAATTTAGTTTAATTGTTGCTAAAGTGCTAAATATTTATTGGTCTATTGACAAAAATTCTGGACTGAAAATCCCCGCTCAGAAATATTTTTCTCAGGCAAAGTCTCTTCTTTGGCTGGGAAAGATGACGTTATTTTCTCCTCAT